TTTATTCAAAAATTCTAAAACCTCATTGATTTTTCTCGAGAATTCAATTATTTTTAAAATTTTTGATAAAATGCTTTAAAATTTGAAAAATTTTAATGAAATTGATCATAGAATACAATTATTTGCGTAAAATATAACATTCTTCCTAGGAATATAATGTTATTGTCAAAAATGTTTGTAAAAATCTTCGAAACAATTCAATTATTTTCGTAAAAAATAAAAATCTTCGAAACAGTTCAATTAAAAAATATTCTGAGAAATTCAATTATTTAAAAAAAATGTGAATAACATTCTTCACAAGAAATTAATTATATTTTTATAAATAATAATATTTTTCCCTGTAATTCAAATACTTTTAATAAATAAAATTCTTCACAGGAATTCAATTTAAAAAAAAAATTTTTTTAATAAAATTCGTTGCAAGAATCCAATTATTTTTTACATAATTTTAAATGAAATGATGGAAAATTACATTTATCCTTAAATTTTTTTTTAAATTCGCAGAAAAAATTTAATTTTTTTTAGAAATTTTGATAAAATTCTTCCCAAGAATTCAATTATTTAAAAAAAAATTTAATAAAATGCTTCGTTAGATTTCAATTATTTTTAATTTTTTAATGAAATTTCTCGATGTAATTTAATTATTTTCAAGAAGTTTTAAAAAATGTACTTTTGCTTTTGAATTAGTAAATTATACTAATAAACAGTAATTTCTACTAATTTATTCGTAAAATTTAAAAATTCAAAAGCAAAAAAAAATTATTGACTAACTATTTGCTTTAAATCAGTAAATTAGTAGAAATTACTATTTAATAATAAAATTTACTCTTTGCTTTTGAATTAATAAATTTTACTAATAAATTAGTGGAAATTACTGTTTATTAGTAAAATTTATCGAAAATTAATTTCCGTCACTAAACGTCGACGCCACATTCAAGAGCATTAATAAAATCCAAATTCAGTATAAATATAAAAATTTTTACTGTATTAATAATAAAATTCTAATAAAGTAAATATAAAAATTGAAGAAATAAAGTTTAACATCCATTTTATATTGGTTGAAAAAGAATTCAAAAAGCGGGGAATTTAAAAAAAAATCGGAACGATATGTAAATGTAGTTTTCTATATTTTTTGAACTGCATGTGTATATAAAAATGTGAGTTATTACTCATGCGAATATCACGTTGAATATATATATACATAAAGAAAGATTTCAAATAAACCGGATGTAACGTTGAACTCTATAAAAGATACTATAGTGAGTGAGAGTGTATGTGTGTGAATTCGCAGATTTACTGTTTCGTCTGAATCCAATTCTCAATTTATGAACAATGTCGTCTTTTATTTTAGCTAATTTTCCCAAAAACTTTTTCTTTTTCTTCTTTTCTACTTCTTTTTTATGGTGACGGGGAATAAAAATTTGTATCCACTCTTTTGTGTCGTAAAAATGGAAATCAGGTCATTTGGATGGTTTGAAAATGAAATAGGTAGAAGAAATGATGGAGAAAAATTTCTTTCAATACCGGGGATTTTTTTCTTTTTTTTGAGATAGATTTCAGTAGGAGAAATTTAATATTTTTACTAATGTGTGTCTTTTCTGTTATTTTCGGTTTGGTTTCAAAAGTCCAAAAGGGATGAAATTCTTTTTTCTTTTGATGAGAGAATTCAATTATTTTTTTTATGAAAAAAAATGTCATAGTTAGCGAAATTTTCACTTTTTTGTATTAAGTGCTTTTACATAATTTTTGTATTAAACTATTTTATTTAGTAGTTAATTTTTTTGCCCTCAAGATTCGAACGTTACAAATAGACATTTTTTTTACTTTTCATTAAAATTTTGAATTTTAGAATATATATAGTATTTTTCGTAAATTAGAAAAATTTCTATAAATTTTGAATTTATATTATTCTGTGAATTTTTGAAAATATTTTAATAGAAAAAAATATTCGTTTTTTTAACAAACAATAAGCAATACAAATAAAATGTGAATTAGATTTTTAAAGGTGGAGAACAATGAATTATAGTCTCAGTAGAGTAATTAGGAATTCTACGTATAAAAATAGTAAATTAATTGAAGTGATAATGGAGCTAATGTGACTCTCGAAAGTAGAAAGTAAAGATAGTGAAGGGGTGAAAATTTGTGAGTGTAAGAAAGTCGAAAAGGACCCCAGAGATGTTTATCTTGTTGAGAGGCAAACTACTATCGATGGCTGATCTTGGAGAAACCGGAAATACTCCCACGAGATGATTCTCCACTCACAAGACACGTGGGATATACTATATGTGTAGAAATATATTCATCTACTGTCTGAAAAGTTTCAATTCCGTACTTTTCGTAATTTTTCTTTTTTAAATTAAATTTGTAAAAGTGAAAACTTTTAGCAAAAAGTCAGGGAATTTTGATAGAAATCCTGGAAGATTGTTGTTTTTCTAAAGTTATTGTGTTTTTGTAAAATTTCAATTTTAAATGAATTTAATTAGAAATTTCAAAAAAACCTAGATTTTAGAAAAATTTTAACAACTAAAATTCTTCTAAAATTAGTTAAACATTTTAATATTTATTTAATTGATTATTAAAAATAATGGATTTATAGAAGAATTTTAATTAAAAACACTAAAACAAATTGAATTTTGAGTCAATTTCAAATGTTTGCAGAAATTCAATTATTTTCAAAACTAGTAAAATTCTTCACAGGAATTCAATTATTTACAAATTATTTTCATAAATTTATTAATCAATTATTATCGTAAATAATATTTTTTTTACAGGGTTTCAATTATTTTCATAAATACATAATAAAACACATCGCAGACTTTCAATTATTTTTAATACAATTTTAATGGAATTCCTCGAAAAATGTAATTATTCATAAACATTTTATTAAAATTTATCAAAGAAATTCAATTATTTTTAAAATCTTTGCTACATTTTTATTTATTAGAATTTAGGTATTATTTTCAAAACACATTTTTAATTAAATTTCTTCATAGAATTCAATTATTTTCAAAAATTTTTAATGAAATTCTTTGTAACAATTCAATTTCTTTCAAAATAATTTTAATAAAATTCTTCGTATCTAGAAATTTAATTAATTTCAAAATATTGTCAAAATTCAATTAATTTCAATGTTTACTATTTCAATAAAATTTCACAAAAGAATTCAATTATTTAAAAAGAAATTTTAATAAAATTCGTCTCAAAAATTCAATTATTTTCAAAAGTAATATTATTCTTCGCAGAAAACAGAAATTAAATTTTGTAAAAAAATTTACAAAAATTCTCATCAAAATTTCCATAATCTTTATAAATAATAAATTTTTTCTCTGAAATTCAATTATTTTTTATACAATTTTCATCAAATTTCACGAAAAATGAAATTATTCTTAAAAATTTTATTAAAATTTGTCAAAATTCAATTATTCTTAAATTTTTTTTTAAATTGTAGAAAGAATTCAATTTTACGAAACATTCAAATATTTAATAAAATATTTATTTTTGTAGTTAAATAATTGAATTCTCGTAGAATTTTTTAATAAATATTGTTTTAAAAATGAATTTCAGTTAAAATTTTAGATTATAATTGAATATTGAAAGCAGTTTAGCGTGAATTTTTTTAAAAATAATTGAATTTTGAAAAGGTTTGAAATTAAAATCATTAGAATTCTTAATTTTCCATATTTTTAACAAACAATTCTGTATAATTAATTCTTTTGAAAAAGTTTAATTACATATTTTTTAAAAATTATTTCAAGTTTTTATTTTCTAATATACATTTAATTGAAGAATTTCCGAACAATTGAAATTTCGTAAAATTGAAATGTAAACAAATGAATTTGAAAATTCACAAAAAACTTTTTTAAAAATTATTAAAAATAATGGATTTATAGAAGAATTTTAGTTTAAAAACACTAGAAAAAAATTTAATTTTAAAGAAGTTACAAATTATTGCAGAAATTCAATTATTTTCAAGAGTAATAAAATTCTTCTTAAGTATTTAATTATTTTTACTAATAATAAAACTCATAGCAGAATTTCAATTATTTTTCATACAATTTTAATTGAGTTCCTTAGAACAAAAAATTATTTTCATGCAAGTTTTAGTAAAACTCGACAAAAGAATTTAATTATTTAAAAATTTGTTGATAAAATTATTTATGAGAATTCAATTTTAAGAACCATTCAATAAATTATTTACTTTTGTATTTAAATAATGGAATTCTCGTAAAATTTTGTAATACAATTTTTTTAAAAATGAATTTTCTAATATGGATTTAATTGAAGAATTTAGGAATAATCGAAATTTCGTCAAATTAAATTGTAAACAAATGGATTTGAGAATTTAGAAAGAACTTTTTCAAAAATTATTTTAAAACAATTGTCTTAAAGAGGAATTTTAGTTACATGTTATTGAATTTCAAATTTTTGAAAATCTTAATTTCTATGAAAAAATAATGATTAAATATTTATTTAAAAATTAAGTCATTGATGTTTTTGAATAATTTTCGTTTTAAAAACATGGAAAAATTCTGTTTTTAACCTGGAAAATCTGGAAAAGTCTGGAAATTTGAAAAGAGCAAAAGCGTGGCAACCCTGAAAAATGTTTAGGGTAAAAAATGAAGAATTGACCGCAGAATTGATTAGAAATTTTTTTTACTTTTACATTATAAATGATAAATCTAAATTAAAATTTCTTTTCTCTTTCGAATTTACGATTGCAATTGAGAAAAATCATTAAAAGTTTGAAAATCTAGAAGAATAAATTTTTTTTCTTCACGTCGATAAATGTCGGTTAAAGGAATCTGCGGTCAATAAAAAAATAATTCCCTTTTATTACTGGAAATCGTAAATTTCATTTCTTATCGGAATCGAATACACTTGAAGGTATTAGATTTTTATATATATAGAGAGAGAGAGAGAAAGATAAAGTATATAGTAAAGTAAACTTTTTTTATAATGGGGAAAAATGGCTTTTGGGTAAATTTGATGATCTTCTGTACCTGATATGAGCACCAACACTATCCACATGATCCCCACCAGGCTCTTCATCATGTCATTGTGACGTCACGTCCGCCTCATTTCTCCTCCTTTTCGCCCTCTCTCGATCCTTCAGTTTTCACACTGTAACAATGAACGATAGAAAAATAAAAGCAAACACAAAGAAAAACAGGTAAATAAATGATAAATCGCTTTAATGTGTCTCATATACCGGGTGTTGAAAAAGTGTAAACCTATTTTTTTATTTTTTAAATATTATTTTTTATGAAAAATTCTCAAATTTTTCGATGTTTGATAGTTTCGATAATTTTTCTACATTTGTATAAAAAAATATAAGGCGGAAAAAATTTGTAAATACATTTTTTTTTGGAAATTTTTTTTTATTGTTTTACAAGTAAAAATATTTTATTTGATGCTCTGATAATTGAAATTAGTAAAAATGTATACTAATTTAAATTAGTGACTGACTTTTTGCTTTTAAATTAGTAAATTTAAATAAATATAGTAATTTCAACGAATTTGTAAGTAAAATTTACTAATTCAACAGCAAAAAGTCAGCAATTCTTTTTAACTTTAAATTTGTAAATTCTACTAACAAGTTCAATAATAATTACTATTTATCAATAAAATTTACTAACAAATTAATAGAAATTATTATTTACTAGTAAAATTTACTAATTTAAAGGCAAAAATTCACTCACTAATTCTTTTTACTTTTGTGTTAGTAAATTTTAATAAATAGTAATTTCTAATAATTTATTAGTGAAATTTTTTTAATTTAAAAGCAAAAAGTCAGTCACTAATTTTTTTGTTTCTCAATTTAAAAATTTTACTAATAACTCAGTAGAAAATACTATTTTCTAGTATAATTTAGTAATTGCTAAACATTGCAGCAATCGTAAAAATTAAAAATTAATTTTCCAACCCCCCGTACTAAAAGTCGTGAACATAATTTATCCCTGAGTATAATTATTCTAAAACAAATTATGTTTGTCATTATTTATTAATAATAATTTCTACTTTAGATTGCGACAAGAGAGAGAGAGAGAGAGAGCATATATTTCACGCCAAGTACTTTAAACGCGTGTGCACTAACTATCCAGTCTGGCATATAGTATAAAGAGAAAAAAAAGAACGAATCCGAGGGGTTTTAAATTTAAAAAATAAAAAAAAGAAAGAAAAATGAAAACATAGCTGCACCCATTTATTCAAGAGAAGTTTCGCTTCGTGACTTTTTTCAGTTCTATCTCCTCTTCTGTTTCTTATATAGGTTTTTTTTTTGCCGTCAGAAAGATTATATTTCCACAGAAATTGTATTGCTTTGACCTTAACTCCTTGCTTTAACTCATTCATTCATTTTCTGTTTAGTTTTTTTTCTGTCTATTCTCATGTAAATTTGTGTATGTGCCGAGAATTTGGCAGAAAAAAAAGAAGGGAGAAAAATAATAATTAAAAAAAATAACAACGAAAAAAAATATAAATCAACAAATTTGACTCTAAAATTGAAAAGAAATTTTTTGTTAAATAAAAACAATAGGAATTAACGATCTTTTTTTACTACTTTATTTATTTAATTATATATTTATTTATTTACCAAAATTACTTCTTGCTTTTGAATTAGTAATTTCTACTGATTAATTTGTAAAATTTACTAATTCAAAAGCAAAGTAGACTAGACTTACTTTTTGATTTTGAATTAGAAAATTATACCACTTAATAGTAACTTCTACTAATTTATTAGTAAAATTTACTAATTACAATGTAAAAAGTATTATTGGCTAATTTTTAGCTTTTTAATTCGTAAATTATACTAATAAATACTAATTTTTACTGAGTTATTAAATTAAATTATTTAAATTACAAATTTAAATGTAAAAAAATTATTAACTTAATTAGTAAATTATACTAATAAACAGTAATTCATAATAATTTATTTGTAAAATTTACTAATTACAATGCAAAAAGAATTATTCACTGACTTTTTGCTTTTTAATTTGTAAATTATACTAATAATTAGTAATTTTGACTAATTTATTCAATTAAATTATTTAAATCACAAATTTAAATGTAAAAACAAATTATTAACTGACTTTTTGCTTTTGAATTAGTAAATTATACTTATAAACAGTAATTCATAATAATTTATTTGTAAAATTTACTAATTACAATGCAAAAAGAATTATTGACTGACTTTTTGCTTTTTAATTAGTAAATTATACTAATAATTAGTAATTTTCACTAATTTTTTAAATTAAATTATTTAAATCACAAATTTAAATGTAAAAACAAATTATTAACTGACTTTTTGCTTTTGAATTAGTGAACTATACTAGTAATTAGTAATTTCTACTAATTGTTTAGTAAATTTTACTAATTAATAGTTATTTCTACTATTTAATTACTACATTTTACTAATAAATAGTCATTCTTCTTAGTTTGTAACTAAATTTTACTAATAAATAGTAATTCTTACTAGTTTATTACAAAATATTACTAATAAACACTAATTTCTACTAATTTATTAGTAAAATTTATTAATTTAAAAGCAAAGAGTAAATTTAATTATTACATAGTAATTTCTACTAATTTATTAATAAAATTTACTAATTACAAAGCAAAAAGTAAATTTTAATAATAAATTGTAATTTCTACTAATTTATTTGTAAAATTTACTGATTTAAAGGAAAAAGTCAGTCACTACTTCTTTTTGCTTTTTTATTTCTTAATTTTATTAATAAATTAGTAGAAATTGCTATATTTTTATTAACAAAATTAACTAATAAATTAATAGAAATTACTATTTATTAGTATAATTTTTAGTAATTAAAAAACAAAAAATTAAACACTAAATCTTTCTGTTTTTGATTTTTAAAATTTTACTAATAAATAATCTATTCTACTAATTTATTAGTAAATTTTACTAATGAATAGTAATTTCTATTAATTTATTACTAAAATTTATTAATTCAAAAGCATAAACTAACTTTTACTGATAAATTAGTAGAAATTACTATTTATTATTAAATAATTTACTAATTCAAAATCTTAAATCCAGGGCTTAAATCAGTCACTAAATCTTTTTGCTTTCGAATTAGTAAATTTTCATAATAAATTAGTTTAAAATTAATTAAAATTGCTATTTTATTAGTAAAATTCACTAATAAATTAATAGAAATGACTATTAATTAGTAAATTTTTCAAATTCGAAAGCAAAAAGATTTGGTGACTGACTTTTTGTTTTTGAATTAGTAAATTGTACTAGTAATTAGTATTTTCTACTAATTTTTAAGTAAATTTTACTAATAAATAGTATTTTCTACTAATTTTTAAGTAAATTTTACTAATAAATAGTCATTTTTACTAATTTTTTCGTAAATTTTACTAATAAATAGTAATTTCTACAAAATAATATTTTCTACTAAGTTATTAGTAAAATTTTCAAATGGAAAAACCAAAAGAATTAGTGACTCACTTTTTGCTTTCAAATTTGTAAATTAGTAGAAATTAGGGGAACATAGTCTAGGTCGGCCACCTTTTTGACTTTTGTTTATAACTTTTTTTTAAAAATGAATTTGGACAATTGAAGTATATGGTTGGAAAGTCCTGTTTAATAGGAACATTTTTTCTGTACAAAGTAAATTGACAGGTTTAAAAATGAAAAAGTTATAAAGATTTAAAAAAAAAAAAATTTGTAGTCCAGGTTGGCCATTACAGTCAAGGTCGGCCATGTTTAAAATTCAAAGGGCATTAATCGTTAAAAAATAAAATAACATGTTTGGAGTTACGGAAAATTGATTCTTTATTGTTTACAGTTTGTAACTTAATGAAATAACAAAATAATAACAATAAACAATATAAAAAAATAAATATAAATAAAAAAAAGTTTTGCACTAAAATATTAATAAAATTAAATAAAAATATTAATAAGATGATCAATTATATTATGAGTTATACAGAATTGCAGTTTTTGCAAATGAAGTAGCTCGTCCTCAACTTTGCGCATTTTAAACACATAGTGGCCGACCTTGACAGTAAGTAACATTACCGAATTGTTGTAACCATAAAGAAATACGTTTCGGGATTCGATTTTTTACTTTGTTTTCCTTTCAACCATGAGTCCCACAAATTTTCTGCATACTTGCCTTGATGATTCAATTTGTTTTTTATCTTTTATTAATGGTTTTTCACATTATGCACAAAACTTTTTTTGAGCTTTTTTTGTACCGACGTCACAGAAAACACAATTTTCGATTTTCCGAAAATGTAATTGAACAAAAAGTTAGGTTTCACTAAGACAAGCTTCGACAAAAATGCGCGTAGGTGGCGCTAGTGAACTTGACAAAAAAACGCGAGTGGCCTACCTAGACAGTAGGCCAACCTTGACTACATTCCCCTACTATTTATTAGTAAAATTTACTAATTCAAAAACAAAAAGTCAGTCACTAATTCAAATTAATAATCATTTTTGCAAATTCAAATTTATAATTTATTGCTTTATTCAAAATAAATTTTTCTTTTAAACAAAAACAGAGTTTTTGATGGAAATAAAAGAGAATTTCCTTGATTTAAACAAATTTTCTTTGCATTCAAGAAATTAGTTTTTTCATGCGAAAAAGAAAATTTCTTTGAATAAAAATTTATTTCTAATCGAAAGAACAAGTCATAGCAAAATAATATTATTATAGGAAATAATTATTTCTTTAAATTAAAAATTTTTTTCTGTCTACAGAAATAATGAAAGGATAAAACTGCAAAACAGTAATAAATGTTTTTTTTCATTGAAATAAATGTATAGAATAATTACAGTTTTTTGTACACTCGGTGAAATTAATAAGAAATGCGAATGGACTATAATATCTCGGAAAGAAAATTTCTATTATGTTTTAATATTCATTATAATATATATAGTAGGAGTTTAATTAAGCGTTTCACTTTATATATTTTGTGACATTTTTTAAAATTGATAGGTAAATCATATAGAAAAATGGGTAGGAATGTAGTAGAGTTAATCTATGACCTTATGTCAGTCACTGTCTTTTTTTTCTGTATGGAAAAGAAAAAGAACTCGAATAATTTTGCCTTAGGAATATTCAATTCTTTTTTTTCTCTCCCCCTTTTTCTTT